CCAAACCATCTGTTCTGTTAGAAAATGATCAGCAGCTCTGGGGCACGCGCCCAGCCTGTGGCCTGGGTCCCAGCGCCGTCGGGGTGCGCGCGCGGGGCAGTGCCGCAGACCTGGCTGACAGCTGGCAGCCCTTTCCAGCTGTGCCCCGGGAAGCACTTGCCATCTGCACCAGTAGACACTCACATCCCAATTTACTCGGTTTGGGTGGTTCTCTCCCCTCCACCCCCACACTGGTAGTGATCTCTCTGCATGAATGTGTTTTCCTTCCAGCCCGATGAATATGTAACACTTCAACTGATGAATTTCAAATCAGTCAAGTTCAGCTGGCAAGTAAAGGTGAAATTCACTCCAGTTCACAGGGGCTTGAGTAAGCCTCTCTGCTAATTAAATCCCACTTAGACTCTATTTTGATGGATTAAGTGGGATTTAAGGGCTTGTGCTAGGCCATTGCACAGTGGGGATACTTCATTGCAGATGCATACTGGCTAAATGCAGCAGCGACCAAAAGTTACAAGTTACCCTTTCTGAAAGAGAAAAGGAACACGAGAATTTTAATAGGCTGTCATTTTTTTCTGGGTGGTATTTGTTCTTTCCTTCTGGAGGATGGGATTTTTTCCCTTGTCATCTTCGATGACACAGAGGCAGTGTCATTTGCCCATTGTGAAAGAAATCAAAAAAGGAAAGTTTGCCTGCGTGAGGGGAGCAACTGAGGCCCTAAAACACGGCAAGTCAAACGTAAACAGGAAAGTAAGAACACTCAAAAAGAACACGTGAAGAGCCCTGTAGAAAGGATATTCAACCTGATACTAAAAGGGACTTGAAATACACCAAAAGCAGGAAGACAACTAAGAAATCAGTGGGACCACTTGATACCATAGGTATGAAAGAGTCACTTGGGGATGACAGGGCTACGAAAGGGAAGTTCAGTGAATTCTCTGCATTAGCCCTTACTACTGAAATGTAGGGTTTCTCAAACCTTGCCAGTCCCTTACAGTGGGACAGTCAAAGAAGCTGGTTTAATTTGAAGTAAAAATACAAGAATATTAACACCAACTGGATAAGTTAGATGTTAATAAGTAACTCGGGTGGCATTCACCTGAGAATCCTGAAAGAACGAAATGGTGAAATTACAGAACTGCTGACCATGGTGCATAACTTATCATTTCAAATAGGCCCTGTGCCAGAGGACTGGCAAACTGCAATTTAATTCCTACCTACAGAAAAAGGGGTCTCCAGGGGATCCTGGGAACTATGGGCTAGGGAGCCCTGAGTTCTTTTCCTGGTGCAGTACTAGCCTGTAATAACGAATAAGATCACTTGAGTACATGGATAAACATGGGCTATTGGAAAAGATTTGATGTGACTTCAGTAGTGTCCTAAGCAAAGAGGATCTGGTAAATTGAATATCTTTGGATTTTAAGTCTTTGGCAAAGTTCCGCGTTAAAGAATGTTTGGGAAACTATGTTGACACAGGACTGCAGAAGAGTTTTGAAAGCTGATTAAAGGATAGGAAGCAAAAGGTGGAGCTCAACCGTTGCCTTTCAGGATGGGGAAGGGTCAGCAGTCTGGTTTTCCGAGGCATGATGCTGGGATTAGTTTTGTTCAATGTTTTCATTAAAGACTGGAGGAAGGGAATAAACACTGAGATCTCCAACTCTGCGGATGATGTTAAGCTCTTTTGGATGACCAAGTGTTGTCTCAATGGCTAGAAGCTCCAGAAGAACCTCACAAAACTGAGTCACTGGGCGAAGCATTAGCTGATGAACTCCATAAATGTAAGTGCAGGTATTGAAAAATAGCCTATATGATGCTTAACAGGATGCCAAACTTGCAACTGGCAGTTACTGATCTGGAGAAAGATCTTGGTGTCATAGGTTACCGTAGCCTTAACTTATTGGCTATGTAAGAATAGTTTGGAAAACTATTTAGTTTGGAAGCCAGCAAATGGTGGACATTGTCAGAAGGGAGGGCATCATTTACCCCACTGTTGGAACTGTGCTGCTTGAATACTGCAGTCATTTCTGGTAACTGCATCTCAAGGACAATGTAGTGGAGTTATTCTGGAATACATAAACACAGCTAAAATGATCAAGGGAATAGAGCAGATGGCTTGTGAGACCGGACTAAGAAAGTTGGTACTTCAGATTAGAGAGGACAAGGCTGAGCTGAGCATGATCAAAGTTTAAAAAAAATCCTAAAGGCGATGTATATTCTGAGTGTGGAGCTGTTGTTCACCGTATCCTGCCATACAACAAAGAGGGGGTACTTGATGAAATTAGTAGGAAATCAGTTTAAATTAGATAAAAGTAAGTACATGTCTCTACAGAATGTAGTGAGCTTCTGAAACTTGCTCTCAGAGGAAGTAGTATCCACAGATTTAAAAAGGAATTAGATAAATTCATGGATAACATGTCCATGAATAGATAATAAAAGACTGAGGAAGAGACCCTGAGAATGGCCTGCAGAAAGTGGCCAGGTATACACACTTGACTTAAACAGCATCTCCTATTGCCATTTTCAAAGACACTGCTAGATCCTGGGCTTAGGCGGTTGGACCCAGTAGGACGTTTTTGTTTTTATGTGATAACATAGTGTCATTAAGTAATTTTGCACAGCTGCACCCCACCTTGTATGCCACAGTAACGTGGAAAAATCCTGTGTTCATAGGGATGCTAAAAGGGAATATACGTTCAAGAAACAAGGCATGGTTGTATATACCTAGGTATTTTAGAACACTAATTATTACTCTTTATTACTCTCTTAGTTCTGCATAGGGAAACAGAGTGACTGCATGTTATGCTAGGTCTGGAACAGGGACTTCACGATAATCACTAATGGCACATTATGAAGGTGTGTTACAGAGCTTCAGGTCATCACTAGGCTGGACAAAAAAAAAAAAATTTTAAAAATTTAG